ACAAATCAAAAGGGAGTTTATACAGATGCATTTATTATCCTGAAACAGAGATCTCAATTCACGATGTCCAACCCTTGTGTTCCATTCTAAAATAGATGCTCTAGTTTTCAGACAGTGATCATATTTTCGTTTCAACTTAACTGTGTGTAACCCAGTGTAAAAGTCTGGATGAGAATTCCATGGTAGATTAAAAATGTACAGACTACCTTATTTATTTTGAAGCCCCATATACATTGCGGTTGTACAGCTAAGGAATCCAAGTGATAAATTTTAATGTTTCTGTCCTAGCAAAGCTGTTGCAGGAGGTAGCAGAGACTTTGAACAATTGCAACTAGAAAATAAAAAGAGGAAACTGCATTGGTAAAAATCAAGCCACCATACTCATGATGAATTTCTCATGTAAAGTTTACATTTTCACAGATTTGAATAAATTGACGTAGTTTAAAGGCTGAAAAACAACTGGGCATTAAACTGCCACTGCACACAGTGAAATCTGACAGGTCTCCTAATTTAGGATAGACAGCTTAACTTGGCTCTCACATACAGGATCTGTGGCTGCCAGCCGTAACAGCCGTCCAAAGTGCCAGTCCAGCCTCACGGCCAGAGGAAGGACCAGATCATCTCTGGTTCCCTTTTAGCCCTGATTCTGTGCAAACAGATCACTGCCCACCAATAGCAGCACAGCCAGCTGCCTGCTCAGGACAAAGCTGCGCACTCAGGAACAGCTGTTGCGAGGAGTTGAGAGGAGCCAGCACTTTTCAGTATAATGGCATGAGATTGCAGATGGCTATCTTCCACTCTGCCATTATAAAGAGGAAGGAGCTGTGCATGAGAACTTCCTGTTTTGCTGTCCTCCATCAGGACAGAACATAAAGGATTAAAAGCCTCTCTGAACTTACTATCAAAGAGCTCCTGTAGCTGAACTAGATTAGCATCATCATGTTGGCATTTTTATTTAATGCAAGCAGATAGGTAACAATGAGGGAAGGCAGAAATGATCTGTATACATTTTTTGATGCTGTTTTATCAAGAAGTTGTTTTTAATCTGTCTATACTTGCTGAACAAATACTTCTTTATCAACACCGTCTTATTTTCATATTGCTCTCTCCCAGGATGGAATGAATTCAAGATGGGTTACGGTTTCCTAGCTGTGCAACTCACTGCCATTTTCACACTGCAAAGTAAGAGAAATGTCCTCAGGTGGAAACAGAGACCCTTGGTATTGAAAAAGCTGATCAGCAGTATGCTCAAAATGACATATATAATTATGTTCTCTATCCTTCAAAGTCCAATCCATTTTTCCTGATTCTGGTACATGTCACTTCATTTTGCAGTCAATGTTCTCTTCTTCCTAGTTAGTTATTATAACATTCTTGTTGGCTTTTGATTTTTGTTGATGAAAAGAATGCTGTAGTCCTACTGAGAGAAAAAGATGCTATCTCTGCTGTAGCCAAGACAGGATGCATCAATGGCTTTGAAGGTTAAAACCAAATCTTATACTGGAAGCAAAGTGAGAGACCAAAGCAGGGATCAGAGTTCAAGAGTGATGCATGTCAGACAGCATCAGATGGGCAACAGGCATCCATGGCAGGAAATGGCTATAAAGTTAAAAAACCTTTGTGGATGCTTACAAGTAGAGTGAATTAATGGTTATAAGAAGAGAATGTAAGCTGAGTAAAAGTGTTTCTGTATCAACATTTTGCCTTCTTGTTTAAATTTATGCAATTCTACTGGATTAATTTACCAAAAAAAAGACACTAATAGTAATACTTTTTCAAAAAATAATTCTTATGCAAGACATACCTGTCCTTTGCACCACAAAGCCTCAAGCTGCCAAATAAATTTTCCTTTCAGATAGCTGAAAGTAAGATCAGTTAATGTTTTACTCCCACCCCTTCAATTTTACTGAACCAATTTCAGATTTATTTTGGCACATGTAGCTGCAATAACTTAAAATTTCTTATAAAGGATTAATGATTTGCAGTATATACCCCTAAAAGTCTGCATATATGTATGCTATTCAACTGTTTGTCACCAAGGCTTAGAATCAAGGCCCCCTTTAACATAACAAAGAATTCTTTGAACATGTCAACTTTGATATTCACATTGTATGGCTCCTGGCATGTCTGTTTCAGTATCTGACATTCATGGTGATGACTGACTCCCAGAAACCTGCAGCTGAGAGGACATAATGCTTTTCATCTTTTTAAGCAGAAAACAACAACAAATTAATCCTCCCCCAAATCCTGTGATGATGGCGGTGAAATCATTTTATGCAGATACAAACATACCTAAACGAACATAAGGTCAAAGTCACAGCTGTAGTCAGTCTCATATTCAAGATAAGTATTCAGATCTTAATTCATATCCCTACTCCTCCCTCACATACATAGCTGTGGCATGCAATACTGTGCATCTTGTGAACAATTCTTTTGCCTAAAAATTACAGTTAGAGGTGATAAGAAAATTTAGGAGTCATATGGACTTACTTTTCCAGCAAACGGCACATATACAAACTGTATGAGTTCACACTCTCATATTATGTAAAGGAATTTAAACCACAATTTTATACAGAAAGGAGAGAGAGAAAAAAAAAAAGTCTATAATCCTTATGAATAGGAATTAAAACATAGTTGGCAGTATTTGCTAGGTAGTATTTGCTTTGCATTCCTGCTGTTTATTTACGCAGTGCTCAAAAGAGCTTTACATATACAGGAGACCATATTTATGGGAAAGATTTTATAGAACTTCAATTTCAGGTCTTCTTTCCAGCCACCTCCATAATATATAAACATTATTGGAAAGACTCAGAAGGTCAAAACAGCATTACAAATGAGGAGAGAATACTGAAATCTCGTCATATACTCCTTCCTCCAAATTCTAACTGTGGCAATCTGGGTTTCAAATTAATTCAGTGACAAAATTCCTACTGACTTTTAGCAGTGATGTTCACTATGTTCATATGTTCACTATGCCTTTTACTGTGTGTTTTTTTTTTTCTTTCTAATTTAACTCAGAATAATCACAGTTCACACGACTGTTTACGTCTTAAATAAGTTGTCATACTAAAGTAATCTGCATTTCCTAGCTTTCCTAGTGAAATTGTGAACTAACTCTGTTACAAAGTCAGGAAACAATTATTTTGTGGGCTGATTTTGATCACTAAGTTCATTTAAGCATTTCTCCAAAGTGAAAATGAGTAGCACTTTCATTTAGAAGGTTGGAGATATTACAGAATGAAAAATAATAAAAGATTCCATACTAACAGTGCTTTTATGTTCCTTCCAGTTTTGGAAACAACAGCGCTTTACTCTTAAACTCCAGATGGCACTGCAGTGCTTATTATTACTTACTTGGGTGAGAACTGGATTGGAAAAATGCAAGTTCCTGAAAAACAATAGCTTTCTTGTTTTAAGAGAAATCAGCTGCTAATAGTTTTCCAGTGCAGATGGATATTTTACTTTCAGTTTTATGAATACTGGGATAACAAATGGCAGCTTATGTGCTGGAGATAGGACTGGTTGTGTAAGAAAGACTCACTTGTCTATGTTTGAATGAAGTCACAAGGGTAGTAGCCTTTTCCTCACCAGAGGAACACACGCTATTGCTGTGAACAGGAAGGGCTATGCAACAGCAGAGATTCTCCATTCATTCCACAATTGATTCTATCAATTTCTGTATAATTAGTTTGAAAAAGTGGATTTACAAGGATGGAGTGCAAGCTGCTAAAATAATGAGGATATCAGTAACTTCTTCAGGGAAAGTCATTGACTTTACTGTTTGGAAGATACCCTTTGTCATTTATCAATGTTGTCACTTAGAATATGGCAAGAATATTTACAAGAAATAATATTCTTCCTTCATGTTCATTCTTAGAAATATTTAGGAGTATGATGTTCATTTGTTTAATCACATACTGTTTTATACTACATCCATAATAGCTCAATCTTTTCTTGCATTACTATTTCTTAAGACTAACCCACCCCCCCCCCTTTTTTTTTTCTAATGATCTTCTCAATCCTGCCTGTCACCTACATCCTTTTAACTATCTAACTTTTACTCCTGTTCTCCACTGTTGTATAGAGTAATTTCTAAATACTTGACCTATGGACCCAGTTAAAGTTCACAGCTCTCACTGGATAATCACTAAACCTTGGCACAACCCAAATCTAAATAACATCACTGTTTGTTTTGTACACTTCATCTGACAGGATTCTGGACTTGTTTCCCTCTCCTGTAGGCCATGATATCCTACTGGGCTCTGAGCAAAACACTTCATTTCTCTGACCTTCACTTTTTTTTTTTTTTTTTTTTAAACTAAGTAAATCTTTTCATCCAAGTTAATGAAATGATATCAAGCTATGTAGGAAGGGCAGCCTATTTTTAATACATTTTCTAGCACAGATGACTATTTCATTACAAAAACAAATTTAAGAAAGATGAGATCAAAAGACAAAAAAGAATAAATGTGAGAGAGACGTGACTGTTTTAAACAGGCAGGACCTTAAAGTAGTCGAGGTTTTCTCTGAGGCACCATGAGACCCTTTCCCAAATGCATCAAAAATGCAGTCCTTAACAACACCGTCAATGGTCAACACACACGCACACACTGAGAAAATCCTCAAGTCCATACTAGATTCATGGAGTACAGGTGCACTTGTCACATGAACTCTGGTATATCAGAAGCCATAAAATCACACAAGGCAGAGTGCCCTGCGTGACTTGATAATGATGATCCCGCTGAAAGCTTGTACAACACCTACTTTTGCCCACGGCTGTGTAGCTATTAATTTTTTCTCCTTCCTCAAAGTTGCATAAGAATAATGGTGGCTCCTGATAGCATTGCAGAGAGCATAGCTGAGATATTATCAGCCTGTGTGACAGAAGATATAGGCACTTCTTTGGAAGCGTTCATTTCCATTTTAGGTCTACTAAATAAAACTCAGAAAGTGTCCCAAAATATTTTTAATTCTAAATAAACTTTAAGAAAATGGCTCCCTTCAAATTTATATACATTTTATTTACACGTTTTGCTTCTGAATTGGTGACATTTATATGTAATATAAAATCTTTTCCTTGTATATACAGGAAGCTGGAAAATACCATATGAGAGTTACAGTAACAAATGGGGTTTAACTCAGCAGACACCAGCATTTTCCTAGTGCATATTCTTGTCACCCTCTCTCATGCAGCAGAACAACATCCCCTCTTCCACTATGGGCAGAAGGTGAAGGAAGAAAATGAATGCAGGCCAAACTTGCTTCCCTCAAGCTTTTATAAAATATTTAGTGCACTTTCCCATCTCACCTTCTCAAACTGCAGCATATATTGCAATGATGTGTCTGGCAGTGTAGGAAGACAAGCTCTTCAAAGCACCATCAGCAATGTACTGTTTTGAAAAAGATCATGGGGGAGGAGTACCTCTCCAAATCTAATTATGCAAAACAATGCATGTTCTAGATACCAGATTGCCAAAGTTGCTAAAGCAAGGTGGATCCCTCATACACCTTCACAGCTATTTGCTTACTGGAACAGTTTTGGTGTTGACTTGTCTTGTGTACTTAAATGGAGCTGCACTTTATTTTTTATGATTTTATTTTATTTTAATTATTTTTTTTTGCTTTCTCTGGCCACATCACATGCTCAGAAAGATGCCAGTTTTAATGAGTGGTACATATATGGTGTTGGCTTCTAATCTACTGAAAAACAATTAGCAATCCTTTGCTTTTCTAACACAGTAACAACATGGCCTGCATAGTTTCAAGGGTTTTAATGTCTGATGTCTTTTGTGATCATAATCTAGACCTACTCTAAACCTGTTCATAGTTAACTTGGAAGATGTTGCAAAATTTTAACTAATGCATTTTGCACAACATAGATAGCAGACTGTACCTGAGAAAAATGAAGAAGCTAAATGGTACTGTAGACAGTACAGCCTTCCAGAACTGAAGCAGAAAAATTAAACATTGGATGAAACACAACGGAAACTGGTTTGCAGAAGAGTAGGTCAGTGTCCTAACTACTGCCTTGAGAAAATCAACTCTGCCAGTTCCTTCGTGGGCCATCTATCCCTCTCCTTGCCTGTGAAGGAAAATAGTGCAAACTTTCTTAAGTGTCGCCTTATTAATACTTTCCAAATCTTGCCTCTTTTCAGTCTTACATTTCACTTTTTATGAAATAACATACAATTCAAAGCCAGTGAGAACTGTACTTCCTAGAGATTACTCTAGAACTAGGCATTTTATTATTCTGAAATGTTTATATAAACAAACCAAAGAACGGAACTTAGTTTTTCCACTTTAGTTTCAATCTGCAGTATTTGCCTTTTCTATTAAAAAATCTGTTTGCACATGTTCATTTCTCTCTGAAACCTGTTTTTGCAGAAATATCAATTTTGGCTTTTACATTTTTCCACCGATTCTTTTCCTTCCTCCTAAGGGAACAATTCATCCCTCTCTTCCTGCCAAAATGCAGTGATTGCTAACAGAGCTGAAATTTTTTTAGCATACCTTTTTTATTTCAGTCATTTATATAGCTAGATTTATAATGCTCCTAGGATAGTGAAATGTTCACATTTTTAATAGAAAAACAAGCTAAGGCTGAAGTTTCATTGCTTATCACATTAAACACACAAACTTCAACTGCTTCTCATTTTAGCTCATTCTCAAACTATCTACTAAAATTTTTATTACTGATCATCTTCATTATCACTATAAAAACAGTGTCTTCAGTGCCTGATGGCAGAGATCTTGCTTAGACAAGGTGAGCAGAGGTGCAGGCACTGATTTTTTCTCTGGGGACAGCAACAGGACCTGATGGAGCAGCATGGAACTGCATCAGCAGGAGGTCAGGTTGTGTGTTAAGACATGGTTCTTCAACAGTGGGTAAGTTGAGCACTGGAACAGGCTTCCCAGGGCAGTGGTAATGGCCCCAGACTGCCAGAATTCGAGGAGCATTTGGACAACAGTCTCAGACACAAGGTTTGAATTTTGGGTAGTGCTGTGTGGAGCCAGGAATTGGACTGTGGGCCCCTTCCAACTCAGGATATCCTATGACCTTCTTCATTTGAAAATGATCATCACCCTATCCATATTTCTTTAGGTCTGAGCTGACATTTCAAACATCCCATCCAATTTTCTGGATCAAACAAACCACACCATTTTCCAAAATTAATCCAAAGAAAATAGCCAACCAAGGGAACACTCGGTTCAAGTTCAATGTAACTGCAAAAGAAAACAAAACAAGTTTATGAATTTCCACCTAAGACCATAGAAACAATGCGAGAATTCATACTAATTTGTATGCCTAAGAAATCACACAAATCTGTTAACACCTGATTTCCAAAGCTATGCATAAAATTAATATAAAACATTCATCTTCCAGACACACTCTACTCTGCGTTTTGATGATCCACACTGAAATGTCTCAAACTGTAACTGATGGATCTGATGGCTTTAATGCAGTATACAGAAAGAGATGATACTAAGTTGTTTCTTTAGCTCGCTTTATATGAAATCTAAATATCATCACTTTAGGCTAGAGCTTTCTCAATCACACATCTCATATTGATTAAAAAAATATAACAATAGAAATGACTTATCTATCAGCTGCATTTTCTCACACATTCTATACAAATAATGCAGTAACAAAGCAAGAACGTACCTCTAATTGCCTGAGAGTTTGATATCAAGACAAATACTTTTATAAACACAAGGCACAAAGGTGTGTAGTCATGTTCCCATATAACAGCTGGAATTAGCAAAAGCTTTCCGTAGCTGGACAACAGTAATGCCTTGAGAAGTAAAATGAAATCAGACTTCGTTTTTAGCATCTTGGGTCTCCTCCACCACAAGGCAATAAAGATGCCAACCAGAAATGAAGTTTGTTCTAAGAGATAATAAGAGAAGTTGGAAAGAGAAAATGAAGCACCAAAATCAAGTCATTTTTGATACCTTATAGTGAAGTGACACATCTCTAATGCACCTGGGCCACTGCTATTTAAAAGACACATGCAAACACGATCACAATTTGCATCTCCTTTGTTCATTTTAATAGTAATACATTACTACTTAGACCAATTCAGCATTATTACATTCAAAATAATCCTATTGCAAAATTCTGCTTGCAAGACTGTCATACTTGTAATTTATAACATCACACAGCACAGGTATATGAAGCTCTTTTTAACAGAAGGTGAGGTTTTTGTTATTTTCTGTTGGGTATTTTTTTAAAATTCAAATTGTCTGTTAGCCAGTAAAACAGAGCCATCAGTACATTTCCTTTCTGAAAAGGTCCCCAGAAATGAACTCATTCATGCAGCGTAAGGAGGAACACTAAGGTGAAAAAATCATTGAGCTATTCTTCGTACCTTCTCCCTGTGTAACACTGGAACTTACGCAGACATCAGAGCAACTCTCATGACAGCTGTAATAGCTGAATTACTACTGAAATACAAGTTCCAACATTTCTGCTGACATGTAATGAAAACCTACTAGAGCAACATTAGAAAATAAACGATTGAAGTTAGATTCTCAATGTCTAAGGGAAATATTAATTTTTGTCTGCATGTTTGATTTAAAGAATGTCACCTGGAAAAAAAAATGAGAGAATAAAAGCCTTAATGAAAATAAAACAAAAAGTCTCCCTGCCTCTGACTGCAGTCTTAGAGCACAGGAATATTTTCCTTTGTTTGTTTGGTTTTGTTTTTAAAGAGTTGTCTTTCCTTTTTCCATAAATTGTAAGCAAAATCCTACGATAACGAAGCATCTCCCCATGTTACATATTGACTTTAAAATGAGTAAAACCAACAGGGTCATTTTAAATAGATTAATGTAGAAAGAGGAGCACACTGTATTACAGGGAACACAACTGGCAATATATCAGGCAAGAGAATGAGGCACAATGTAAACTGCTGAGAATGCTAATGTGCTTGAAACAATGATCATATATAAAAACAGTATCTGGAGCTTTGCACCTTGGAATAAGGCTGAGCTCTATGCTAGTCTTCAAGCTATTTAAACAAATTAAGACTGGTTTTTAAATAGTGCCACTTTTCAGTGATTTGATGTCAAATGCTGATCATGTCAGTCTGAATATCATATCTGTCTGAACTGTAATCAAGTTTGAAAAATGAATTTGTAACAAATGAAGGCAAATTAGAGAATGTGTGCATAATCATTTAGCCATGCTGGGTTGGACATGACTTCTACTCTATATTACTAATTCTTGCAATGCAGATTTGCTGAAAGACTTATGAAATTATTGAATGCTTAAGAAGCACATTTGATAGTTACATGAAATAATTATTGTTCTTACCTAAAGAAGCTATAGCAAACATTCTATAAAAATCCCATTCCTTGGCATATCTGATTAAGTCATCAGGATCTGTACTTTGGCTAGAATCCTGGAGTTGCAGCCACCTCAGATAAGCTTCACAGAGTAAACAAAATATGTAGAGCTTCCCATGAAACTGAAAAATGAAAGAATAATAAAAACATAAGTTAAAGCACTAATATTTAATAAGAATTTAAAACACATCCCTATATCTCTAAACAAACAACCTCTGAGGATTTTAATATCTGTTTAGAAATACAAACAAATTATTCTGTTGCATCCCTAGTTTCTCAAATAATCTTTTTAACATCAATTCACAAGATAGGAAAATTAGAGAATGTAGAAAATTGCATGGAAGAAAGTACGTAACTGTAGTTTGCAAGGCCTGTTTTCTAACTTCTTTTTTTTTTTTTTAACTGAGAAAGCTGTTTCAATTAGAAATATAAAAACAAAATTGTGCTGTAGCTAATAGTCCTTTGAGATTTTGTGTGTTCTATTCACAATACTAGACCCTTAATCTGGGAACAGGACTGGTTCACCTTGCTGGTATCAGTGGAAGGGAACAGACCCTGAAGTTTACACCTATTCCAACCAATGTATTAAACCTGAGTATTACCTTTAACCTAAAAATTTACAAAGTAGGTGCATAGCAACTTACATTAATCTTTGTATTGAAAAGAATGTGTCTGTATGCTTGTGCTTTACATAAAATTGCATTAATCAAGATGATGACAGGATCATACTCAATGTATTTATCCACAGGTTTCTGGCACGATTTCTGAAAGTCACAAAATAACAAGAATTAGAAAGAAAAGAAAGCAAGAGTTCATGAAATGTTCCTGAGCTTAGCACAAAAGCATAAGTACAAAGTAGCCATTCAATTCTCATTTGTTTTTCCTTAATGTAATCTTTATTTTCAACTGATTTCTAATTCATCCAGAAGAATTGCTTTTTTGCCCTTTGACATTACAGTCAATACAAGCATTCCCATTATAAACCAGAAAGATACACCACCTATTTTTACAGGCTTCAGATTAATACATATCAACAAACTACGAAGGATGTGCATATTTCATTTATCATTTACTTCTTTCAAAAGATATGTTTTATCTTCCTATCCTACCTTTTTCTTCCTTTTGAGAAATAAAAGTATTTTTTTCTTGTTGCATTGTTCCTCCATGCTGATATAGCCCAGTATTTCAATTCATTTTTTATTATTTAACAAACAAATATTAATGCATTTAGAAAACTTGAAATGTAGTTTTCACACACAGATATAGCTGAAAAGTCAGAAATTGCCACTGAGAGGTGGTAAGACATGAAAAAATATACTTCTCGAATGCATCTGTTGGTTCCTGCTGTGCCTACTAGAGGCTATTTCACCCAGCCCACTGGGAATAGGTTGTCATCAGCCACTTCAAACTTATGGAGTAGCCTGGATGGGTGCCCTCTCCTTGACTTGAGCTAATGAGAGGGGGTAACAAAATTACCTTGTTGTACTTGTGATCAGAACAGTCTTAGAAAAGGCTGAACCAGCAGACCCCAGAGGAAAATTGCTTCTAGGGGAGAGCAGAGGAGTAGCAGCAATTGGTCACAGCAGCCACTTCAGCTCAAAAAGGGGCTCTTGCAGAAAGCTGCATGTCTACAGGCCTGCTTTCTTCTGCTACCGATCCTCCAGCTCTGCAACTTGCTTTCTCTAGCTTGTCCTGAGCCAATTCATTCCACTCCCCCAGGCCTCCACATCAGCTGTCATGCTCGGAGTGCAGAAGTCATAGAGTGATCTCTATTTCCATTTTAATGAGCTCACTGCTGGAACACAAATCCACGCACAGCAGCTTTCTGTAACGCTGCCACAGTCAAAAACACAGCATGAGATAACATGAAACTACAGGCAAGCTCCACATCAATTTGACAGTGATTCCTTGTGTCCAAAGTTAACTTTGCCTTGATATTTATCAGAATTACTTTCTGAAAGGTTAAGCATGCAAAAATTTACCAGCAGATTGACTTAAAAGCCCAATATCTATATCAAGAAAAACATCTGAACAAATGAATAAATTGAATAAAGCACCTGAGGAATGCTGCTACCATTAATTAATGTTTCTTGGTCCCAATAAAGAAAAAAGCAAACTCATTTGGATGAGAAAATACTAAGTACAATGACAGTGACAAAGTTAGAAGGAATTAATTCAAAAATATATGCATTAACCAACAGTTTGATGGATCTAAAATTGAAGCCAGAGGGATGGAAGAAAGGACATAATTAACAAAGAAGACAACAGCTGCAGCATTTAATAAGCAAAAAATCTACCACAGAAAAAACTGTAACTATAACTGAAGGCACAGAGAGCAGAGCTCAGCGCTGCACCTCCGCTCCCTGTGAGGAGCTGCAGCCACTATAAAGCCTCTCCTCAGCTTCTCTGTTTTGGGCTGTACAGACCCAGGGCCTTCAGCCACCCCTCACACACCTCACCCTCCAGACTCTGCCCCATCTTGTAGCCCTCCTTTGGATGCTGTCTGATAGTACGTAGGAAGGAGACTGATACAAAGGAACACACAAGCAGCAGTCTCACCTGTAATACCTGCACAGCTACAGCCAGCTACAGCCAAATAAATCTACAGCTGTAAGACTGATGTTTAATTCAGCATACTACTAAACATTTAAAAATCCTATTTTACTTGTGTTGATTTAATGGGAAGAAAAAAAATCGATATCACAAAAAGCAGCCATCTTCAAGGACTTCTCATACAAAGACAGGCCAATACATTCATGCCTGCTTATCTTCTTAAGTTAGATAAGAATCCCGTTCTAAATATAATTTATTTCTATTTGAGCCTTAACTATACAAAGGAAGAGTCCTTTTTGCTGACCCAGCCAGTGACCTGGTCAGCGTGAGGTCACTCAGGGACTTGTGAGATCTACAACACATTTCACTGCAGAAGACTTGCACGTGCACTGACAAACTTACTGGACAAAATGAAGACAATAATTCTGAAATCATGAGGACATCACAGCATTAATAAAACTTCCAGGATGAATTTTTCACCATGCCTGGATTTTGGTTATTTTTTTTCCAGCTAAAAAAAGAGTTATCTCTATATATACTAAAATATCTTCAGCTATCCTTAAGCACCTAGGAAGCAAATGTGACGAAAGCCTGACTTCAGCCAAACCAACATAAGCAAAGGTTAATGCAGTTCACGTACATGTATGTTTATCTTGACAGTTTAAACTAGTTAAAATTATGGAGCTTTATGAACATTGATAATCCACAGCACTTTCAGAGAAGATCAGTATGAGCAGCTCAGCAATGCAGAACTGCTTGCAACCTCACTTTTAAGACTGGGGTGCATTAAAATGGCCCAGCCCAGGCCCATGATGGTACTGGCCTTGTATGACCGTGTCACTGCCTCAATGGATAAGGGAAGAGCCACCAGTGTCATGTAAGGCCTTTGACATGGTACCCCGCAACATCCTTATCTCCAAATTGGAAAGAGATGGATTTGAAGGGTGGACTGTTCAATGGACAAATAACTGGCTGTAGGATTGACTGCAAAGAATGGTGGTCAATGGCTCAGTGTCTGGATGGAGATTAGTGACCAGTGGTGTCCCCCAGGGGTCAGTGCTGGGTCTGATACTCTTTAATGTCTTCACCAGTGACACTGGGATTGAATGCACCCTCAACAAATTTGCTGATGACACCCAAGCTGTGGAATGCAGTTTACACACGAGAGAGATAGGATGCCATCCAGAAGGACCTAGTCAGGCTTGAACAGTGGGCCCAGGTGAACCTCATGACTGCAAGGTCTTGCATCTGGATCAGGGCAACCCTCACTATCAAAACAAGCTAGGGGATGAAAGGATTGAATGCAACTCTGCAGAAGAAGACCTGGGGGTACTGATGGATGGGAAGCTGAACATGAGCCAGCAATGTGCCCTTGCAGCCCAGAAAGCCAACCGTATCCTGGGCTGCAAAAAAAGAAGTGTGGCCAGCAGGGAGAGGGAGGTGATCTTGTCCCTCCACTCTGCATTGGTAAAGCCTCACCTGGAGTGCTGCATCCAGATGTGGAGTCCTCAGTACAGGAGAGACACAGACATGTTGGAGTGTGGCCAGAGGAGGGCCACAAAAAATGATCCAAAGGATGGAACACCTCTCCTACAAGGCCAGGCTGAGAGAGCTGGGGCTGTTCAACCTAGAGAAGAGACGGCTCTGAGAGGGCCTGATACTGGCCTTTCAGTATCTAAAGGGAAGCTACAGGGACGATGGAGACAGACTCTATAGCATATTAACAAAAAGCAACCAACAATCCTTTTTCGTTTTTTTTTGTCCCGTGTAGTATGCAAGTCTGAAGATAGCAGAAATCCATCTTATTACCTTGACTGCTTTCTACCTGAAAATACCTGTTGATGGGTCCAGTTTTCAAATAGTGTCTATTTCTGATTTAAGGGAGGGAATCAAGACTACAACCTCCTCCCCCCCCCCCCCCCCCCCAGGCAAATAAATAAATAATTAACACAGCGTGCTAAGTGATCCAACTTCTCCACACACTACGGAGAAACACACCAGAACTTACCCCAGGCCACAACCTACCCTAAACACTACCCAAGCCAGACAGCTGAATGCTGTGTGGATCATAGAATCGCTCAGGTTGGAAAAGACCTTAAAGATCATCCAACCGCAGAGTCCAACCGCAACCTAACCATACTGCCCTAAGTAACAACCCTAAATCATGTCCCCGAGCACCGCATCCAAACGGCTTTTAAACACATCCAGGGATGGTGACCGCCTCCCTGGTAAGCCTATTCCAGAGCTTAACAACGCTTTCTGTAAAGAAGTTTTTCCTGACATCCAACCTAAGCTTACCCTGGCACAACTTAAGGCCATAAAGCAATAGCTGAAAGCACCGCCACAAACGCCACAGCCGCGCTGCCCCAGACCCGCTCCCGCCCGACTCACGCAGACAGCGATGCGGAGCACGCCGTGCCGGTAGTCGCGGTAGAGCTCCGCCGCTTCCCTACTGCACTCCACGCATCGGTAATCGCCCCGCTCCGCCATCGCACGCCAAAGCACGGCCCGCCCACCGGCACTTCCAACCGCCTCGTTTCCGCGTTCAGAAACGAAAGAAGGACGGTCCTTCACGCGGTGCATACCGGGAGTTGAGGTTTTCTCCCGCCCCCCGGCAGTGAGGCAGCCCAGCGGCAGGACTCCATACCCCACCGGGCAGCGCGGCGGCTCTCTGCTCCGCCCCCCATCTCCTCCCGCGGGAGGCGCTCTTCTCCCCGGGCGCGGTGTGGGAGCGGTGCGCATGCGCCGCGCGAAGATGGCAGCTGCCGGCGGACTCGGTTCCGCGAGGGGGTTGTGGGCGCTGCTGTTAGTGCTAGCCCTGGCCCGGATCGCGGTGGCTCTGACCGAGCAGTACCCGACCCTGTCTCTGCTCAAGCAGGAGCTGCACCAACAGCGCCAGGGTCTGGCGGGGGGCTGCGCCTCGGCGGGCGAGTGGGCAGAGCAGTACTCGGCGGAGTGCGGTGAGTCGGCTAAGCGGCCGTCAGCCCGGGGCTCCGCGCGGCCCTGCGGGCACGGGTTGGGGCGGAGCGAGGCTGCTGGCCGGCCGGCTGCTGTGCGGGGGCTGCCCGCGCTGCGGGGCCTGCTGGTTCTGGGCTGCGTGTGTACAGGGTCGAGAGTCCCCGTACAGAAATGCTAGATCAGGGTAGCGAAAGCTTCTCGGCTGAATTCAGCCCCAGCTCGCTTCACGCTTCAGTACAGACCCGGAAAGACTTTCACCCAGAGCCAAGATGAAATCAGTGTCAGGTGCGAGTTAATAAACAGCAAAGTGTTTTATGGCCTTTCTTGTCCTAGTGAGGCACAGCTGATTGGCTCCGTTGGCAGTGTGTGTAGAAGGTTAGGGTTCGATTTGGTGGAAGATGTTCTTTTAAAGAGCTTGGAGTAACCGGGATCCATCCCTGGTGCTCTGCTTCAATAATCACCTGCGTTCGCTTTTGATATTTACTGGTAATCACATAGCTGGCAATTAAAAACCAGCACAGTAACCCTGAGATAGCAAGGAGTGGGCTGGTACACAGCTATTTAAATCTTACTGCTGAATGAATAGCCAGTTTAAAAGTTCCCTTAAGCTTTCAACTGTTGCTTTAGTTCTCCTTTCCCAGAAGCTGAGAACCTTGTTGTCTCACAGCATTTCTCTTGCAGCCACCACAAGATCTGGGCTACTTTCTTTGCTGTTTGTGCTTTAGGTTGTCAAGAAGCAGTGTTGTACAGCTGTGAGTGTACCTAACCTAACAGGGGTGGAAGGGTCTTTTCCCCCCTATGCATCATGAAGATAGACTGTTATTATGCTCTGCCACCTCATTCAGAAATTCTTTCACTACATTTTCACTGCTATACAGAAAACGCTTCTGGTGGTCATAAGCCACATCTCCATCTTTTCATTTTGACTTGAGAAACTAAGTTTGCTCAGCAGGCCTGATGGATGGCTGCTAGCTGTCACTGACTTAGTGACAGCACCAGTATGGCGCAACTCACGTGTTAATGATGCTGCTGCTGCCTATGGCATGGGAGAGGAAAGTTCTGAGCAACGTTAAAGATAGGGCACAGCTGAAACCTCCCAGCAGCAATGCTTTCGTTCTGGAAACTATGTATGGTGAGCTGCTGTCCTTACAGGGCTTCCCAGCTTTAAACTTTGACCTTCTGCTTTTCACTAAGTCCTGCCTCTGTTGTGTGGCTCAGCTTAGTTCCAAGTTTCTCTTTACAAGGGTTGACTTTATATACTACTTAACTTCCTTATGAGAAGCTGTTGCTTTTTTTTCTTTTTTTTTTTTTGGTCTATGTTTGAGAGAAACGGGGAGTTAGCTAACTGCAGGCTGAGACCTCCATCAAAATCCATGCATAGCGCTTCTTCCAGAAGTTAATGCAAACACTCTCTCCCCATTACCTTTCAAACTTACTGCTACTACTCTTTTTTTAAATGTAATATCTGGTACTTGTGATACAGAATAAAAGAGATAATACTGTCTGCTTGCTTTTTCTTGTTTGCTTTTGCAGCTTTTGAAACTTGTGTTTCAAGTTGGTAGAAGCTTTAGGATCTGAAGACTGAAAAGCTAAATTCTTTTGGGATAGCAGTAAAAGCACCACGTAGATCGGATAGTGACTTCAACGTGGGCTTTTGTTAATTTGTTTCTGGTTTTGTTGTTGCTGTTGCTGTATGCTTGGTTAGTCTCTTTCTTTGCTGTCTTGAGCTGTGTTTGGCTTTCTCTCATTTCTAGGATAGAGTCAATCTTGGGCTTTCTGTAGTGGCATCCTTAGTAATATTTGTGAAAGACTTCTGTATGTTTAGTTTGTTGCTGTTTGCTATATTTTCCCTACTTTTTGTAGTCTTCATTTTGTCTGTTACCTGGATTTCTAGCAGCAGATCTTTCTCTACCTCTTTTCAATTTATCTTCCTCTGTAGAATTGGAATGATGAGTTGAGCTTCAATTTCTTGGACGAGAGATCAGCATCACCATATCAAAGGGTGATATCTACTGATTCCAGTTTTTTTCCCTTTTATTCCTCCCCTAACTTTTTAACCATTTTTTCCCCCCGTGTATTTTTAGTCAATAGCACGAACAGAATAGTGAATGTGAGGAAATATAGTAGTGAAACATATGTGACTTCTTCAGGTATTAATTATCACTCTTTTCCCCTAGATTCATCATTTTTGCAATTCCAGGAATCAGACTGTGACTTAAGAAGCTCTTCATCTTGTGAGTCCTTGCTTTCTCTCAACACAGAAAAAATTCTGGTATGCTATCAAAAATATAACGTGTACAAAACAAATTTAAATAGACTGTTGAACTGCCTTGAACTACATAACTAGTTTGAATTAATTTCAGTCAAATAGCCGTAAGTAAAATGTGTTGATCAGTAGGCATATGTCCCCAAAAGTTCAAGTATGAATCAACTAAAGTTGGTTGTGAAAGAATGGCTCCATAGTACTCCATCATGAGTCTCTAGGGTTCCCAGCAGTTTATACTTATTGAATCTGGTCGGATCTGTCCAGTCTAGGAGTACCAGCAGTTCTTTCTAAGGCAATTAAATATATATTAATTTGTTATAAGTTTCCTTGTTTCAAAAGTATTTTTTGAGTGTACTTTTTTCTTTTTTTGTTTGTTTTAAGAGATCAAGAATACGTTTAATTTGAAGCTGATGCAGTGACAAATTCTCAGTCGCTTCTCGAAGGCAGAAGGCTTGTAGTTTTTTTGCATGTAGAGCTGCAGGATATCTAACTAGTGACTGGATTCAGAATTTGTTGAAGTGTGTATCACCTTCACGTTCTGAGGAGTTAAATACCAAAAATAACTTTCTGAAGTATGTCTTCCGGAAACTGCCTTTGGACAAATGATGATGCAAAAAGATTGGTTTTGGAGGTCTGTGGTTTGTAAATATTTGTGCAATGTAGATTGGTATACCTGTTGAGCCCTGCTTATTCTTCTGTTCTACTTAATTTTTTTTAATTAATGACAAAAGAACTATCCCATTCCATTTTACTGAGTAGGGTGTTAATTCTCTACATTATATTTGAGCTCACACATCATTTCTAGTTTCAACAAAACCAATTTTTAAGAAAAAACATGGTTTGCGAATCTTAAAATGTTGTTTAAAGCTCTGAATTTGAAGAGTGGACTAAGCTTTCTTCGCATTAGGTATACAGGGCAGAAAGTGTTCTTTTGATTTAGGATGGTTACTTTCACACCTGTAGGTCACTGTAATACCTGTCATGCTGTCATGGGTACAAGTGATAGGACTTCTTTTGATTGAAGGAGACAAAAAAAAACGGGAGGAAGACAAAGTGCAGTCTTCTCAGAGATGAAGATAACAATGTTCTCTGAAGTTCAAAGTGTTAGACTGTTAGACTATCTTCTGTAAAGTAGAATATGCAGAGACGCACAGTTTACCCGAAGCAAAAGATCTGAACTCTGAGAGAAATTCATTTTTCCATTCTTACGTCTTAGGACAGTTTTGAAGGCTTTTATTTAATAAGCATTTTGAATTTTCTTAACATGTACTCCTCTGGTAGGCTTGCAGCTATCTGTGGAATACAGTTATGAAGATGAACAGGGTACAGTATTTCTGTATTTTAGTTTTTGTCTGTGGCAAAATTGTTTTCCATAGATACGCTATTTGAGGAACATAAACTTTAATCTTTGTTCAGCCTGCTGTAGTTTCATCCATAAATATAGGTTGTTAGAAGAGGACAGCCTTTTTCCTTTAATACGGCACTGCAAAGTTAAGCTTGTCTTTTATTGCTGGAGCCATTTTCTTTTCAGTGTTTCATTTGGTTTTACTTTTCCATAGTACTCTTACCTTTGAAGAGACAAAGAAATTATTAATGGGGTGAAGAAGCTTTCCTATGAGGTGGAACGTGTTAAACTTATACAACTTCATCTTAGTTGTAGTACAGAAATGGCAACCACCACTGATAAGGTCCTTTAATCTGAAATGTTTGGCTAGCCTTATGTTAGAAAGGACAGCAGAATCTTACTGAATAACAGTTTTTCTCCCTGCAGAAGACTGGGACTGTATTTGTTTTCATTTACAGCAATCACATTGGTCTTAACATTTTGATTTAAAGTATTCTCTGTTAAATTTCTGTTAAATTATTTACCATTGTTTGCTAAACACTACAAACCATGATGTTTTACAGAGTCAAGCAAAGTCACTTGCAGAGCAAAAGAGATTTCCATTCGCTACTGACAATGACAACACAAATGAAGAATTAGGTAAGCTATCTTATAAGGTTTGTGCAAGTGAATTGCATGCTCACTGGTAGCACTGAATATTTTGAAGCTAAACTAACAATTCCGAGGTGATACATTAATTTAGAATGATCCTAAAAAGCCTAGAGAGTTTTCTTTGGGGTCTTCCCAAGAATCCTTCCTGCTATGATCACTGGAATTCTTCACTGCATCTGTTTATGAAAGCGATTCAGAAATCATCATTAAATCCTATTAAACAGTGTCAAATATATTTCCCCTTTTCTGTCATTACTGATGTCTAAAACTATTCAAGCATCCTGAAAAATTTACCC